AAATCTGTAAATTACAAAATGTTTGTATTCAGCATATGTATATACACAGTAAATCTAAAGTCTCCAGGTCTAGAAGTGTTCAAATGAGGCTGAAAAAACAATATACATTTTTCGATCATTCTCGATAAAAAAAGTTATCGGATGATTTATCGAAACAATAAGTCAAACTTGCACTGCGTATTGTATACACGAGTATGCATACCAAATTACAGCTCTCTAGCTCTTATAACTTCTGAGATCTAGGCGTTCATATGGACGGACGGATGTATATACTTTATGGAGTCTGCGATGATTCCTTCCGCCCGTTACATACTTTTCAGAAAACCATTATGCCCCGATTTCCCATTTTCAATGGGTTCAGGGTATAAAAAAATTCGCTGTCGAGATGATTTGTGCCTGTCAAATGTTAACATGAAGTCTATTTACAATGCCAAACTGATGGAGCTGCGGCATCAGCACAAAGCTCAGCTGCCTGTCAAATGTTAACATGCAGAGAGAACACCAATAAGTTGAGCCCCTAAAAGAGCTGTTGAGCCATCTGAAAATGATTTATGAAGCACACGCAACTGGCTGTTAAATGTTAACATGCGGTTAAGCGCGGGGCAGGCCAACTGCTAGAACTGTGCGCGCTCTGCCGTTGCATATTTATGGAGGCCCACACATCATGCGATGGCCGCAAAAGGCAGCCAAAGGCCAGCAGTTACGATTTGGCCAAAGAAGGAATATAAAACGGGTTTTTGCTTTTAGCCATTTCGTCGCACATTTCTCGAGCCGAGATGCAGGCAGGATTTTGGCGACAGGACATTGAACTTTGGCGCATACAAGTAGGTCGCCAGCTGCGCCACTTCCAGTTCCACTTCCAGTTCCGATTCCATGACCAATTCCAGTTCCAGTAAACGCAAACGCAAAATGCAATCATAGAGAAAATAAAAGTTGTGTCACAAATTAAATTATGTCTGCGGCGGGAGGGGGACGTTAGAGTGTGTGTGTGTGTGTGGGGGGGGGGGGGCGACTAAGAGGGGATGGGGCAATGTCGCGTGTCCCACGCTGTGACGCTGTGAACTGGCTGGCCAGCCAAAACCGGAAAGCCGGGGCCCACAAACTCTTGACCAACTGGCGAGTGCGAGCCATATGTGTGCGCACTGTACAGTATTGCATGGCACATATGGTCAGCGCTTAAGTGGCACACAACTGCGACAGACTTTTTTTACGTAGACGTCACATGCAACAACAACAACAACAACAACAATTCGACAGAATAAACTCGCATTTAATGGTTCCATTTAAGCGCTGTGTGAAGCGAATTTGGTATATCTCATATATCACATGCAACTCAGGTTTATTATTTCAAAGTTCCGCTAATCAATAAACATAGCCAGCGACTGTAGTAGGCCACACAATACTCTGTTTACCTAATGGAACTGAACATTAGAGTGCTCATGGACTTTGTTTAGGTGTAGTTCATGTAGTTAGCTCAATGAACAACGTTAGTTTATAATCGAGCAGCAGATTGAGTGAGAAAAGAACAAACTAATCACTAAATGAGTTCACTAGTTCATTAATTGGTTCCAATGCGTAGGGTGATAGATCTCATTAATGAGCCTAAAATTAACAATTCTGAAGTTCCTTTTAAAATATGAAAACAGATTTTTTTAATCAAAGTTTCCATTTTTTTTTTTTTTTCTTTTTTTTTTTTTTTTGTGCTTAGAGTGCATTCAACAGTCGAGCAGACACCGTCAAGTCATTTGCAAGCGTACATCTTTTTTCTAAGTCATGCTTTGGTTCAGTGCAGTTATTGTTGTTTTTGCTGTCGATGTGGCGATTGCGACGCAAATATTCCGCAAAAAGTTTGCCGAGCCGCAAGCATTGCAGTTACCGTTGCCGTTGCCGCGGCTGTTCTTGTTCTTTATTTATTTTCTTTTCGCTTTTGTTGAGTCGCCAAAGCGTTAAACGTGTTGATATTGCAGCACTAGAGAATTTAACCAACAAAATAAATATGTATAATAATAATAAACAACTGCAGCAAGACAGAAGAAGAAGAGTGAGAAGAAGTAGCAGAAGCAACAGCAGCAGCAGCCGCAGCAGCAACGCGGCAGCGACAGCTTTATGCGCAGCAAATGCCCGACTTGGAAGAGACCTTCGTCAAATGTCACACACGCACACACATGCATAAGCAAAGACAATGCTCGACCTTCGTTCAAAACAGAACGATTGAGAGCAACACAGAGAGAGCAAAAGAGCGAGAGGGAGAGCATATTTTTAGTAATCGCTAACGTAAACATTGACAAAGTGCTTGGCTTGCAGTGCGGCCACTCGACGCACTTGATGCGCGCAGGTAAACAAGAACAAAAACTGAGGTAAAATCAAAAGCGAACGATAATAACAGTTAGTTAAGCAGCGCAGCATTCATATGACACAGGCTGCAGCAGCGAACGCAGTGCGAGCAGGACAGTTGCTGCTGCCGCAAAGCAGTTAACGCAGTGCAGCGTGTGAGCGTGAGTGTGAGTGCGAGGGCAAAGGGTGTGGGAAGCTCATACAAAAACAAACAAGTCGAAAGTCAAAAGGAATGCCATAGAAAGCATTAGAGAGGGCGAGAGCGGGATAGACAGAGAGACCGCGGCACATATTCAATAGCTGCCCATATGGTGAAAACAAGCGAAAATGCAAAATGCTCGTTAAATGAATAAAAAGCTGCATGATGAATAGTGCTTAGGTGTGTGTTTTTATTATTATTATTATTTGTTTGCTTAATTGAGAGCGATTTGCATTCAGATTTGCGTGCAGCAGTATCATTATATATTTACACACATTATTGTTTGCAATCATGAATATGTATGCATGTGTGTGTGTGCGTGCGTGCGTTTGCACTAATTCACACACACACACATACGCTTGCTGAGAGCTAAACATTCGTTAAGTTGCAGCTGATTATCAAATTTATTAACTGATGTCAGCGTCAACAACAACAAAAGCCAAAATTAGTTTTACTTATAGTGTTGCCCATCGGTTTTTTCCCGCCAGACTTAGCTTTTTTAAAGTTCGAAAGCAGCGGGAAGATTGAAATGCTTAATAACTGCAATTAAGATTCAGCCGTTTTTGCTAACTTTTTAGCTAGAATAGATCTAGATCTTGGCAGCACTGATTGCTTGCTCGCTCGACCACTCAGCCACTCAGCCGCTCTCCCACTCTCTTTCACTTATTCGCGCTGCATGTATTTCCTGCTCTCTTCACTTTCCAGGCAAATGCACTTACAAGTGCTTTTATCAACGGTCAACCCAGCTGCTGTTGCCGGCATCGGCGTCGACGTCGACGTCGCTGCTTTTATTATTATTGTTATGATTTATGATCTACGCACTGGAAAACGCAGCCAATTTCTGCTTTTGCAATTGCTTTGCTTGACAAGCGCTGATTGCGACTTCCCCCGCCCCCACTTGGCCCCACCCGCACACACTCGGTTTATCATTGAATTGTTTTGTTTTGATAAAAGTGGATTGGGGCTGCGCTTCCGCTTAGACGCTGGTCAAGGGTTGTCATCATCCATTCAATTGGATTGCAGCAAATGCCTCGAGATAGAAATTCTTCGAGAGAGAGACAGAACGCAAGCGAGGGGGAGAGAGAGACGGAGTGAGAGCAACAACGAGGCAGTCGGAGACTTTTATCGATCCAACAATGGTTGGCCCGCCGACCACCGGCCACCCCCCGTCGACAGGATTACGTCGTTATATGGCGCCAGGGTTGGTTCAGACAGGGACAGAGGGGTTGCTTAGCTGGCGCATGCGCTTGGCCCAAATTTCAAAAACATTGCCGAATGCATTTTATGTAATTTTATTAACATATACTCGATGGTGAGAGCAAGAGAGAGAGAGAGAGAGAGAGGGAGAGTCGGGCCGAATGCAAACCGGCTCAAAGTTGCAACGTTTCAAAGACCGAAAATGCAATTGGAAAGACAATTTAAGCCAAGCTTAAAGATAATAAACAATTTATAATGCCTAGCCTAAGGAATCTCAGCGCTGGAAATCCAATTGATAATACTAGCTAATAGATTTCCTAGTTGAGAGTCTTGAGCGGAGCTTGAAGAACCGGATATATATCATAATATCTATGATCTCAGATCTAAAATCTCTTTCGGCATCTCTACTCTAGCAGCATTGTTTCTCTTCAAGCTTCTATACTTCTTTGAATGATTCCCTCATCATAGAGATTCTTTAATCATTCGCTTCTATTCTTTACCAATTCTCTTAATCTTCCAGCTTGAAAGCTCTTTATGCATTGTTCCTCTTCCAGTTCCTATACTCTTCCTGCTTCTCTGCTCTTCCTGCTCCTCTATTCTTCCACCTTTACCATTTCTCTTCCCTCTTTTAGTGACTCTTGTCTAGGCTCCCTATTCTTCCCGCTTTAATTCTCTTACAGTATCTGCTCCCCTCCATTTACTCTACTGTTCACTGAACTGGCTCAGAATGAGCTCAATCCCAATAAAAGTGTGTTCACTTACTGGCATTCGTTCATGATCTCCTCCTGGCTGCGCACCTGAACCGGTGCCAGTTCCTCGACGTTCTCCTCGTAGTTGCCAAAGCATTTGGTAATCTTCTCGTCGAACGTGTTTACCAGATCCTCCAAGCTGCCGCCAAAGGTCTCCGTGAAGTTGTCCACATTGTCGGCGGCCCGCTTATCCTGGCCCCCGGCCAAGCCATCGGTCAAGCCCAGGTCCGAAAGATTCTGCGTATTGCAATTGGGACTAATGTTGCCAGCTCCAGTTCCAGCGCCAGCGCCACCAACTGCTCCAGTTGCACCATTCTTGCTGATGTGCGCATCACGGACCGCATCCTCGAGCAGACGCAGCTTGTCCTGCTGCTGCTGCTGCTTGGCGCTGCCCTCCTTCTGGTTCCGATTGGAGCTGAGATTCAGATTCAGCGTGTCGTTCAGTGCATTCTGATTGGAGATGAAATCGCAGCCGCCCCATTCGTCCGTCTCCTCGAACTTTGCCAACGGAGCCTCAAATTTAAGCTCGGCCATTTTGGTGCCGAGGTCACGCATGGCACGCGGCACACGCAGCGCTGAGAGGGGCTCTGGGCGGTTGGTTGCTTGATTGCCGACTGTGATCGAGGGGGCGGAGGGGAAGAGTGCTTCAAATTAGGTGCCTGGCAAAGAGGAAGAATGAAGCTACGATTTGTTTTTGTTACGGCCAACTTCCAGTCCCTGTCCTCTCTGTCTCTCTCTCTCTCTCTCTCTCTTGCACCTGAGTAGGAAAAAATTTGCAACCCCTATTTGTGCACTTGTCACCCACTGCAGAGAGTATTTCGTATTTGTATTTCGGTTTGTATATTTTGATTGCAAATCTCTTTAATTTTTTTGCTTTGCTTCTGCACCGGTTTTAGTCGCACACGAAAAAAATAAAAACTGTTAAAAAAAATACGTGCGCTTGAACACTGTTTTTATTAGCTTAACACAATTTAATAACGAACGCTAAATGTTGCTGTTGCTTTTGTTGTTGTTGTTGTTGCGCACGCAAATAAAATAAACACAGAGCAAATACGAGTGGACGAAACGCGCAACGCGACGACAACGACCAGACCAAAACACAACGAAAGTTTTTTGAGACTGCACGGCATCAATGTGACCGTATGTTGTAAGCGCTGAAATACGCAGTAAAAACACACAGCTATCGTTTATCGAGAAATACTGCAAAGATACTGCCACCAAAACACATTCATAAACTATTTTGAATTTTAAATATGCAACTAACGAAAAAAATTGTGTATCATACATTAATATACATTTATTATACGTAAATAATTTTGTAACTATTTATATGCTTACCAATGATAAATTATCATTTCACTTTTTTACAAGTGATAGAAAATATCGATAATTGTTTTATCGTTTTGCAGCACTTGCACAGTTGGCGCTCATTTCAAAGCGCCGCCTTCCAATTTCCAACACCCAGTTAAGTGAAAATAATTATAAAACCATTTTGGATCTGTTTACATTCAGTTTTATTACAATATAAATTAATATTTATATTTAATAATACATTATTAGAGTCAGATTCCTAACGTTTTAGATTAATTTTTAGTTTCTCTTTTTGTTTTTATACTGCGTAATATCGAAGCACACTTTTTCATTTATTTAAATTGTTTAAAACATGTTTTTCTGCGGATTAAAAAAAATCTATTAGTTTTCTTTTATTCATTTTTCTTTTTGTTTTATTATATTTATAGTAAGTAGGACCTGTTTCTGCCCATTTTCTTAAGAGAAATGCAATCAATAACAAAATTTAATAAATTCCTTTAAACACTTTTTTTTTTTTTGGGCGGGGAATTTTGGTTAATTGTCTTAGGTGAAAGCACAGATAAGCTACAACAGATCTGCCATATAAATTGGTTTATTTTGTTCTTTACTCTTAAAAGCAGTTTTTAATTCGTTTTGTTTTATTTTGTTTTCTTCAGTGTCTTTTATCGTCTTTGTTAGATAAGCATTAAATATAAAATAAATATTAGTAAATAACTATATATATATAATGCTAAACAAGAAATGCATACGAATTTTATTAAAATAAAAAAAGTTCTGTTCAACTGCACTTAAAAAGTGTGTTTTTTTTTCTTTGCCAAAAAGTCGTTGCTTAAATAGATCTATAAATCTATAAAGACCCTATAGAGAGAGACAGAGTTATGTATAGCTTGTTTTCTTTTGTAGAATATATATAAAATGAAGATCGACTGGAAAAGTTTGACGTCTCCATAAATTCTTTGCATCAACAACTAAAGCTAAGCAAAAAAAAAAAGGAGTTTAATATATTAAAAAAAAAAAATCTATTTTTTTCTATATTTAATTGAAGTAACAAATATTTTTTAGAAATACGTAATTGATTTTGGTGCGATTTGTTATTATTTTTTAATAAATTAATACAAATTAAATACAGTTTGTGGCCATTTTTTTCTTTCCTTTTTAGTTTGCTTTTGTTTTCTATTTTTTTTTTTTTTTTCTTTTTAAATAAATACATTTTGTAAATATTAAATAGTTTTAAATGTAATCAGACAGCAAGAAAATTAATGAATGGAATCTCATAGTTAGTTGTGTTTTTTTCTCTTCTTTGTTTTAGTTTATATATTTAAATATAAATTATGTGTTTAGTTGCTTTTGTTTGTGTATAATAAAAATGTCTTTTTTGACACAAAACCAAGAGAGGAAAGCAAAAAAATCACACACATTTTGATCTAGATGTAATATATATATATATATATATATTTTTTTTTTTTTTTAATAGTAGTGCGACCTAGCACTAAATGTTAGATAAAAACAAAAAATAAAAGCAGTTCTTAACTGATAAACTCAAAATGTTTTTCAAACAATTTTTATTAAGATTAACATATATTGCTATTCATTTAGTTCATGATACTCAGTTCATCAATTATTTTTTACTAACATTTAGTGCTTAGTCGCCCTACTATTTGTATGAACATACTTTTGCCATGTGTGTGAGCGAGAGCGCAAATGATTTCAAGTGCGAGCAAAAAAAAAAAAATAATAATAAACAAAAAATACTGCAGCTGGAGTTGCGGATGGTCCTTGCTGTTCGCTCATGTGTGTATGTGTGTGTGTGTGTGGTTTTTCAGTGTTGCATAACGTGTGAAGTCTTTAACGTTTATTCAAATGAATGCAAAATTCGATTTTTTGACTTTTTGAAAGTTTTTTTTGTTGTTTTGTTTTGTTTTGTTTGCTTTTTATTATTATTATTATTCTTGTTGTGCAGTTGAAACAATGCCTCGATAAATGAAATTTAACATAAATAATAATAATAAAAAAAAGAAAGTATTGAATAAATAAATAAAAAATAAAAGTAAAAATAATAAAAATGGAACGAAAACAAAAACGAATTTTTGCATAGGGAAAACTAGCTTTAGCTGACGTTGTTCGAGTGTGTTGACGTTGCGTATGTGTGTGTGTGTGTGTGTGTGTTTGCCCAGTTAACAACATATGTCAGGATATTATTTGTTGACCCAAAATTTGGAATAAACAAGTTAATGTGGGGCGTTACAAAAATTAAAAAGAAAATAAGAAAAAAACAAAAGAAAAAAGTTAATGAAAAATACTATATAGCTGACATAGCTGTTGTTGTTGTTGTTATTGTTGTTGTAGTAGTAGTTCTTGGTGGTGTTGTTGCTGCTGCTGCTTATGTTGCTCTTGTTGTTGTTGTTGTGTGTGGGTATTGATTGTGTGTATGTGTGTGTGTGTGTGAGTGTGTTGCATTTAACGCTTATTGGTTGGCTTAAAGTTACAGGACAACATCTCCTCCTTGGCCAATTTGGCACGATATTCGGCCATCATATCGCGACACTGTATGGCAATATCTAATAGGGTCGAGAACATTGTCTCGCCACGCTTACAATACGCATCCTGATCGTAATCCACATAATTGGTCAAATCATATAAGGCCTTCGATTCGGCTAGGAAATTCTCCAGCGTTGCATTCACGCTGCGATGATATTCAACGACCATTTCCTCGGTCTGTTGCAGATCATCGATAGCCTGATGCTGTACGATCAGCTCCTCGGACATTTCATGTTCCTGTAAAATCCATTGACGATATTGATATTGATATAGTTATGGCTGGATGTGAATATGCATGCATGAATATTATGATATTAGGCGCTAGATTACTTAGGATTAACATAATATTCCTATCTTAATAATTAGACTTGGGTTGAAATGAATGCCAATCATTTTTTTTTTATTGATCTCATTAACAGTTTAACATTCGCTGCACATAGAAAGAGATAGATATACATACATATATATATATATATACATATGGGATATACATTGCAATATATGATACATGATATATATATATATGTATATATGTATATCTATACATGCACACACTACGCTAGAAATTGATGCAATTTGGTTACTCCGCTTGTCAAAGTTCTTAAGATATATATATATATCTCCCAATCTGGGTCAGACTTCGCTTGGGCTGGCCTGTGCGCTAGTTTTCCCCCGTCCAGAATTTTGAATGAGACAGCTTTAAAGTAATTCCATATGTATATATATACCAGGAAAATGATATAGATATATATCTTTATCTTTCTATATACTTGTACACAGATATAGATATCTAGATCATTTTCTATGGCTATACACGGGAACATGTACATATGACAATTTCGTTGCCTAACTATACATATATATCCTATATCTATATCCATTTGTCTATATATTAAAGAATTTCATTTTTTTTTTTTTGGGTGTTTTTATTTTTTTTTTTTTTTTCTTTTTTTTTTGTTCCGTATGTCTTTACTATTGTTTTTATATATATGTGTATATATATATATCTATATACTCAGCCAAACATATATAGATATATATACCTACATACATATGCACACACACGTTTATAGATATAGATAGTTATGATATTATATGTATACATATTATGGCCTTGTGGATGAGCGGCTTCGAGGTGGACGATTGACCAACGGCTTTGGCAGCTTTGGCTTGGGGCGGTTACGAGTCTAGAGGTAGAAATAGGCAATGATCAAATTGAGCACAAGAGGAAAGGGAGAGGAGGAGAAGAGAAGGGATAGGGGGCAGGGGAGAGGGGAAGACTAAACTAAACTCGCCTCACAGCAGACATTTGACAAGCGGACGTGACAACACTAAATCGAATGGGAACTAACTCTGAGCTTTACACAAACACACACACATGGAGAGAGAGAGAGAGAGAGAGGGGATCACTCTCTCCCACATGCACACAGATAGACGGATTGACAGCGTGGTGTCGCCTCCTATGACTGCAGATATCCGGCGTATTCGCGCACCAGCATCTGTCGCTCCAGTGTTGGGAAACTGCACAAAGTAACGGTGTCGGTGCGATTGATGCGATATCTCCAGGCATTGTGCTCCCCTTCATCTTTGTCGGCAAACTCCGGCGGCGGCGGCACCAGCTCATCCAGTGGCAGCCACTGCGGCAGCAGCGAACGCGTCGCCTCCACCAGATGGCGCATCGCGGCCTTGTTGCGCTTCTCCTCCGCCTGGTGGCGCTGCAGCTTCTGCAGATAGCGCTGCCCGGCCGGACGCAGCTGCTGGAAGTCGAGCGGCGTGGTCAGCTTCAGCAGCGGCACAAAGAAACGCTTGAATGTATTGTAGGCGCGTCGCGGCTTGGTGAGCACCTGCCCGCCACCCGGACCCATGAAACTCGGCTGCGGATAGCTCAGCTCCGGCTGGGGTTTCTTCAGCCTCTTTGTATTTTTCGGCGACGACGGCGGTGGCGGTGGCAGCGACTGCGGCGACTGCGACGGCTGCGATGGCTGCTGTAGCTGCTTCTTGGTCATCTGCTTGCCATGGACATCCTGGTTGCGATTCCACGTCGGCTTGGCATCTTGAGCGGCACGACCCTTGACGCTGCTATGGGCACTTGTTGTGGCCGCTGCTCTGCCCACACCAGATGCGGCAGCAGCGGCGGCTGCTCCTCCTCCCAGCTTCACCATGGCAGCATTGCGTCCACGATCTCTGGCCAGAGCCGATGATGCCGCCGAGTGACGTTTGATGGCTGCTGCCTCGGCGGCGATTTGACGTTGCTTAGCTGCTGCAGCTGCTGCGGCGATT